TTAGTTGACAAACACAATAGAATCATGAAGGGAAGTTTAATAAAGTATACAAAATTTGAAAGATTAGGAAAATGAAAGTCTACTGGAGGAATTGCAAAGGACTGTTATCAGTAGGTTCTAGGTAAAAAGAGCCCATAACACTCATACCTGACACTAGGTTGATATTTTCAGCTAGATATCAATTCAGAAAGTTTGGGGAATGAGGGAGGAGTAATGCGAGGGAGGACTGAAAAGGACAGGTACAATCTACAAAAATAAAAAAAGAAGGTCTAATAAATAGCCTAACTTCCCTCTAGAGAAACCAACGGACCAACAATATAGTACTTTCAAGTTTCTTATTCCTTCCTTGCCCGCTTATTACATTGACAGTTAAGACAACTCAACATTGTAAAGGACTGTGTGTTTGTTTCTGAAACAGAAGGGTTATGCTGAACTTTGAAATCTGTTTTGCAATGGGTCTAAAAGAAGAGGAACTCAGGTGAAAAAGGGCAGCAAAGAAAAAGCAACAAGCAGAACACATCAAATCCCGGGACCAACTAAACAGACGGAGTGCAAGATACCAGGCAGTATCTTCTAGCATTTAGAGAATCTCATCTCACCTGAGGTATCCTGGACCACTCATATCACACTTGTAGATCCCCCAGCTACTAACTAATAATGGAGCCCACTAATGTAGTCCCAAGGCAAAAACATGTAAGATCTATACCTTAGGGCTCAGCATCTTAACATTATTATTACTTGGCTCACTCTAAACAATTTCAATTAACAAGCTCCTTTTTATTCCCAGGAACAAATACCTACCTTGCATCTCTCATAAAAAAATCTAGATCCTGTCTAGATAGTTTTGTTTCTGTGTGGCTAGGTCCTCAAAGCCTACTACCAAATGCCATTCCCTCCCTACCCTCAAGATGCCAGTCTGAACCTCTACTAGTACCTGCTACCAACCATCCCATCCCACACCAAGTTGGCCTGCTCTACCTACACAATACCTTTTGCTACACGTATCACTCATGCTGACAGGCTGACAACAGGCAGATATGGACCTCTACCAGATTTCCAAGAACCAGTGTTCTGGCCTCTGACCTATCTAGAAAGACCTAAATCCTGCTTGAGATTAATCTGCCTAGTAGCTGGATATCGAATACCACAACGAAGCAAGTCACAGTTCCATTTTAACGATTACCCAATTTACCTAAACTGCAATCACATCATACTAGCTTTTATTCACCCCTTCTACTCTAAACACAAACTGAAAATTTTCAGACCTTTCACAACTTGCTTCACCAGTTTTTCTGGGATGCAGATCTGCAGCTGTTCCATTCTCACTCAAATCAAGAATCATGACACTTTTCTTTGCCTATCTTCAAACCCTTGACACCACACCACTTCCTTATATAAAGTAGCGAACATCTGCCATACTTAAAATACATTTAACAAAGGAGAATATTCCAGAGAGAGGAGGGGAGGAAAACACCCACAGACTTGTATTACGAATAAATAATCACTTGGAGATATTTCTGATTGGCGATATGGGATGAACCTGAAGTACTTCATGTTTTATAACTTTATCTTAAACCTTAAAATTTAGATCATCGTACTAAGTTAACATGACATCACTTGAATTTGCAAACCGTTCATTGAGAGAGATATAAGCAAACTTTAAGCTAGTTTCTACAGGAAAATATTACAAATACGAATTTTCACCCCTAATGTGACTTTATGGTAAACTATAACTATGCAAAGTTTAAAACACTTAGAAAAATCTGATCATGAGTACTTAATAATTTAGAAATACAAGTGATTATTCGATGTTAGTAATCCAACTTCAAAACAAAAATTTCCTACTATTCCTTTCATTCTCTAGATTAGTTTAATTGAAGTAAATCATAAAACTGAAAGATGAACCATTATAGCAATTTCCATTTACAAGTATTTATCTGCAGGAACAAAGATCATCTCCAAACAGTGCAACCAAGTAAAAGAAATAAATCACTCTATTATAAAAATGCATATAAACCAACTGCATGCTCTGTACATTAAAACTACCTCACAGTTTAAACATGTTGACCTGTTACATATAAAAGCTTATAAAAAATAATTTAAACTAAAAAAGTTCATAACCTAATCTAAAATTAACAAATGTAATCATTAAAATCCACTTAAGTTTTCAAAAATAAAAATTCACCTATAGTAAAACCTTGTGCCATTTGCTTTCTTATTCTGCTCCAAAATGTAGATCTGTACTTTCAGAATAAGGAAAATAAGTATTGTCTTTCTATCTCTCTAAAGCTCTCCACAAATTCTTTCACATAGGATGCCTCAAATTTCTTTATAAGCATTCCTTCACATTTAACAAATGTATAAACTAAAAACGGTGCTTTATTTTAACATAAAATTCAAATAAGCTAGTCTCTAATAGTGCTCATCCCACATACTGAAAAAAGTATCTTCCTACATAATTTTTAAGGACACATTACATAAAATTCAATTTCTGCATTGGAACAAAATTATCCCGTTCCACTGCCCTTTTGAATACAACATGCTGCTTCTACAAAGGTCAAAAATCAAGAATTTTTTTCAAGTAAATGCAAGAATTGGAGAAAACATTTGAAAATGATAATTACAGTAAGCAACAGTGGCACTGCTCAAAGCACTTTACAAGCATTAGCTCATTCAGTCCTCCTGACTACCTCTGAGGTTGGTATTTTTACTCCATTTCTATATTAAGAAACTGAAGGACAAAGAGATAAAGAAACGTGCTCAGTCACAACAGATAGTAGGTGAGAATATCCAGGATTCCACTGTAAGCTGCTCCAGTGTAGAGCTGTACCACCTAAATGTAGCAACCATCACTTAATAGGTATCCAAGTTATTTCACAACAATTTAAAGATTTTGTTTCATTTTGTGGCAAACAAGATAAAACATCATAAGTATTTTAAGCTATCATCATAAACCCTAAGAAATAAGACTTCAGACAACAAAACCAAGCAAATGAGATCTGAATTAAAGAGGAAACTCCCTTTAAATGATTTTGATAATTTTAATGTGAATTATTACATGACAATAAATGTAAGTATACATTCGTATGGAAATATCTGACAAATACCTTTCAAAAACTAACTACAAATGCCCCCAACTCTCAAAACCCTTCTGGGTTGGTAAATTTAAAGTACGCAAATATCAAACTTTACCAAGATAATCTGATAACTCACCTACCCAGAACTCGGCAAGTTAAGTCACTAAGTCCAATGTCCCAAGTATTGAAACTCATTCACTTTTCTTGAGAGGATCTCACACACACACTAAGGAAGGGTTACTGATTTTTCCCTCATGCAGAATTACAAATTTGAGTATCATGCCCACACCTAACAAAAATTAGAGAAGGAAGGGTGAAGGGGGACATAGATCATGGTGATAAGTACATCCAAAAAGTAAGGCAGAAAAATATTTATTTAAATGACTTAAAAATGCAAGGAATCTAATGAACAGAAATATTTGACCATATTTGTTGACATTTCTTCCTTTTTGTGTTTATATTCATTTCATTTTTTTGAAAGTCCCAAGTGACTCTGATCCTCATTTTCCTAAATGACTTTAATACACTGTAAAAGATGCTTTTCCTGAAGTGTGAAATTAATGGCTTAGTTGTGTAATAAATGGAAATGAAAGGCTGTTACATATCCTTAAAAAAAAAATGCAAGGAATCTGATCAACAATCCAACAAGGAATCACAGTAACTGACAGTTACAAATGAATACCCTCAGTCATCAAGAGGTTTAATTATATTCTGCATCCTACTTGAGACACAAAAAGAATTGCATATTTAACTTTAGCATTACTTTCACCCAAAGTAGTTAAAGTGTTTTATTTTTTGATTCTCAAAGGAATAAACTCTCAATTACCCAGTAAACTCAACTAATAAATTTGAAAGGAATTCATTTTAAAGTTCTAAACAGCGAAGGTTTTACAGTTTCAAAGCTTAAGAGCACTTTGTGTACAAAAGTTACCTGAAAGCAAGCGGGAGATGAGGAACATAAAGTAGAAAGTCTGTGAGAACACAAGCTAAGCGAGTGTCTGTAAATACTAGGCTTAAAATATTTCCCACAAAACAATGTGTGGGCAGTAGGTGCCACATCAGCAATGCTCTATTTATACTCTATTTGCCCTGAGTCTAAACCATTCGTTAATTTCCGTTAATAGTTTGTTAATACGAAGCAGTACCAACTCTTCCCAACTATAAGAAGAGACAACGTCCCGATTTACTGTATGAAAACCAAAACTGGGATTACACTTACAGAACATGCTTACTCCCTGCAGTGCCACCAATTTTTGCTTTATGGAAGCACACTCTTCTCGAAAAAAGCAACTCTCTTTTAAACTCCTTTTAGTTTTTAAAGGATTGAGGGAGGTGGTGCTTAGCACGCAATGAAAGTTGTTATCAAAAGAATTGTTACAATACTCGACAAAATTCCCTTTCAAACCAGGCTGCAAAACATTCTACTTTCTGTAGCTCCAAACAAAACTGTAAAGCTCACAGTAAATAACATATAAGGCCTTGTACTCTCCTCTAGCAAGGAAGTCTAACTCCAAACAGGAAACTGTTTCTCAAAGGGTCCAACAATGAAATCCTATGAAACCCCAACCCAGTCCTCAGGAAGAGATTTAATATTTAAGTGCCAACACACTTGCCTAGGTAGAAACTGAGTCAACACTCAAAACTTCCCTGTCCTTCAGGCATCCCGTGCAAGTTTCAGCAGGGGAAAAAAACTGCCCTTACAAACAAACCAAACACGAAACACTTCCTTTAAAAGGTCAATCTACACAAAGCCTCCCAGAAGATAAAGTTAAAAGTGCTACTTCGTCAAGTTTTTCCCTCCTCCTCCCCCATCGGATGGGGGAGGAGGAAGGAAGAGGCTGGGAAGGGAGGGGAGAGGAGCTAAGTGTGCCGGGCAGTGGGCGCGCAGAGGTGACCCCGCGGCCCCGCCGCCCATTCCCTCACCTTTCCCTCGGGCAGGAAAGGGGCTGGGGAGCCGAGCGCCGCAGGAAGCACCCTCAAGCCCTCCGACCGATTTCTCCGCGAGAGCAAGGTGGCAGGCAGGACGAGGAGAGGCGGCGGCGGGGTGCGGAGCTGCCGCGCAGGGACCGCCCCCCGTCCTCTCCCCGCGGAGCCTGAGGGGAGCCGCCTCCCGGCACCGAGAGGGTCAGGCCCGGCGGCGGGAAGCGCCCTCGGGTCTCTTACCCATGCTGGGGGCTCCCGCAGGGAGAAGCCGGCGCCCGCTGCTCCTCCTCCTGCTGCTTGCGCGGCCGCTCTGGCGGCAGGAGGCGGGCCCAGGGCTCCGCTCTGCCCCTCCTGAGCTCAGGCGGGGCGGAGAGGCGCCCCCATCCGCCCGCGGCGCTCCCCGGCCAGGGCCGTCAGCGCAGCCCGTGAGGCAGAGGCGGCGGGGCGGCGGCTCCCAGCGCCTGGACGCCACCAAAGCTGCGGTGGGAGGGCCTCCCTCGCCCGCTCCGACGGCGGTTTCCCAGCTCGGGTCGGTCCCGCGACGCGGAGCGGGGCGCGGGGGGCGGGAGGGAAACTGCTGGTTCCTCCCGGCCGCTGGCTCCAACCCGGAGCGCCGGCCTAGCCCGGGCCCCCGCCTCTCGCTGCTCCGTCAGCGCCCACCGTTCTGGATCCCAGCGCCGCACACTGAGGCGGACACCCGCTAGCGACCGGGAAGGTGCCGGGAGCAGGACCCCGGAGCCGGGAAATCTCGCGAGAACACCTCGCGCTCCCTGCTCCACCCCCTCGCGTTCTCGCTCACCACCCCACCGCCCGGAGGCCGCCAGGTGTGGCGACGTCACGAGCGGGGGGGTCGCCCCCCGCGCCCAGGTGCAGCAAGCTGATGGAGAAAATCCGGAATAGCTGCGGCTAGTCCTCAGCCCCGGAGTTCAGAACATCTGGTACGGGCGTTTTGTATGGTTTGTGGTCGGTCTCAAATGCGTAGTTTTGCTGATAGGCAAAGTGTGCCTGGGTTGCTCCACTTTCCTTGTCGGCGATGGGGTGTTGTTTTCTGCAGAGCAGTGGGTAGGCTCTGAGGGACCTAAAACGAGGCGGCGAGAGAGCAACCCCACTTTCAACCTTAGGAGGCCCAGCTGCTACGGGGACCCTGCAGTTCTTTATTTTGCAGTTCCTTACAAATCAGAAGCATTGCTTCGTCAGAAAATAGACAGACACACAAAATTCTATTTTACTAGAAATAACTTATTAGTCTCTTAGCTGAAGGCATTTTCTAAATCCCTTTTCTCTTTTGAAAATAGTTTGTTACCTGATCAGAAAGGAGAAATAGCCATGATTTGAAATATTGCCAGACATATTTTCAAGCCTAACTATGAAGAATAGCATAGAATTATTGTGACCAAGCATGAACCTTTCTTAAGAGTTAGAAACAAAGGTAATTAGTTACGCCAGCTTTTTACTTCTCCTGTTTTAAGTAAATCCAATTCTCGGACATAGGAAGGTGAGAGCAACATCACCAACTACTGTGTCTGGTGCTTTTTAAAGAAATTATGTCTTTTAATTCTCACAATTAAAATTCTCAACACTAAAACTGCCTTGCCCTTTGGTACCAGGTAAGCAGGATTTCTGAAACGCAGCATAGCCATTTAGTTTCTGATTTATTTCATTTATTTCATTTAGCATAATGCCCTCTAGGCACATACATGTTGTCCCATGGTCAGATTTCATTCTTTTTTCATACAATGAGTAATATTCCATTGTATGTGTGTGTGTGTCACATTATCTTTCATCTATTGTTGAGCACTTATATTGCTTCGGGGTGCATATATCTTTTTGAATTAGTGTTTTTGTTTTCTTTAGATAAATACCCAGAAGTGGAATTGCTGTTCTATTTTTTATTTTATTTAGGAGCCTCCACATTGTTTTCCATAGTGTCTCTAACATTTTGCATTCCTACCAGTGGTTTTTTCTTCACATCACCAACACCTGTTATTTTTTGTCTTTTTGATAATAGCTGTTCTGACAAGTGTGTTGTACTATTGTGATTTTGACTTGCATTTCCTGATGATGAATGATGTTGAGCATCTTTTCATGTGTTCTTGGCCATCTGTATGTCTTTAGGAAAATGTCTATTCAGGACCTCTGCCCTTTGTTCAACTGAATTTTTTTTTGATTGAATTGTGTGAATTCTTTATATATTTGGCCTATTAACCCCTTATCACTTACGTCATTTTAAGTATTTTGTCCCATTCAGTAGGTTGCCATATGTTTTTCTTGATGGTTTCCTTCACTGTGCAAGAGCTATTTAGTTGGATGGAGTCTCATTTATTTATTTTAGCTTTTGTTGAACTTCCCTGAGTAGACAGATCCCAGAAAATATTGCTAATACTGATGTCTAAGAGCTTACTGCCTATATTTTCTCCAAGGAGCTTTATGGTTTCAGGTCTTACATTTAAATCGTTAATCCATTTTGAGTTTATTTTTGTGTGTTGTATAAGAAAGTGGTGAAATTTCATTCATTTGCATGTAGTTCCCCATTTTTCCCCACTCTTTTTCTTTCGTCCTTTGTCAAAGAAAAACTAACCATATAAGTGTGGATTTATTTTTGTACTCTCTATTCTGTTCCACATCTCTGTGTGCCTGGTTTTGTGTCCATACCATACTGATTTGATTATTGTAGCTTGGTAGTGTAGTTTAATACCTAGGAGCATGATACCTTCAGTTTTGTTCCTTCCCAAGATTGCTGTGGCTTTTCAGGGTCTTTGTGGTTCCATACATATTTTAGGATTATTTGTTCTAGTTCTGTGAAAAGTGATATTTTGATAGGGATTGCACTGAATCTATTAATTACTTCGGGTAGTAGTATGAACATTTTAACAATATTAATTATTCTAATCCATGAGTCCTGGTATATCTTCCCATTTATTTGTGTTATCTTCAGTTTCTTTCATCAGTGTCTTACAGTTTCCACCTCCTTGATTAAATTTATTCCTAGGTATTTTTTTATGCGATTATAAATGGTATTGTTCTCTCAATTTCTCTTTTTCACCAGTTAATTAGTAATGTATAGAAATACAACAGATTTATGTACATGAATTTTGTGCCCTACAACTTTATTGAATTCACTTCTTAGTTTTAATAGTTGTTGGTGGAGTCATTAGGGTCTCTCTATATAGTTATGTTGTTTCCAAATAATGAGTTTTACTTTTTCTTTTCCACTTTGGATGCCTTTGTTTCTTCTTCTTGTCCGATTGCTGTGGCTAGAACCTCCAATACTATGTTAAATAAAAGTCATGAGAGTAGGCGTCCTTGTCCTATTCCTGATCCTAGAAAAAAAGCTTCCAACTTTCTACCATTTAGAGTGATGTTAAATGTGGGCTTGTCAATATGCCCTTTATTAAGTTGAAGTCTGTTCCCTCTTTACCCACTTTGTTGAAAGTTTTTATCATAAATGGATGTTGAATTTTGTCAAATTATTTTTCTGCAACTATTGAGATATGTTTTTTACCTTTTTGTTAATTGATGTATCACAGTGATCATCTTTCAGATATTGAACCATCCTTGCATCCCTGAAATGATTCCCACTTGATCATGGTGTATGATCCTGTTGATGTATTGTTCAGTTGAGTTTGCTAACATTTTTTTAGGATTTTTGCATTTATATTCATTAGGAATATTGGCCTGTAATTTTCTTTTTTTGTGGTGTCATTGTCTGGTTTTGGTATCAGGGTAATGCTGGCCTTGTAAAATGAGTTTGGAAGCATTCTTTCTTCTTCAGTTTATTGGAATACTTTGAGAAGAATAGGTATTAACTCTTTTTTAAATGTTTGGTAGAATTCACCTGTGAAGCTCTCGGGTATTGGACTTTTGTTGAAATCTTTTTTGATTACTGATTCAATCTCATTACTATTAATTGGTCTGTTCAGATCTTATATTTCTTCTTAATTCATTCTTGGAAGATTGTATGTTTCTAGGAACATATCAATTTTTTTTAGGTTGTCCTAATTGTTGGCATATCAGTGTTCATAGTAATCTCATATGATCCTTTGTATTTCTGTGCTATTCATTGTAATTCTTTATAATTTCTGATTTTGTTTGGGACCTCTGTCTTTTTTTTTCAATGAGTCTGACTAAAGGCTTATCAATTTTATTTATCTTTGCAAAGAACCAGCTCTTAGTTTCATTGATCTTTTCTATTGTTTTTTTAGTCTCTATTCATTTATTTCCATTCTGATCATTATTATTTCCTTCCTTTTACTAAGTTTGGGCTTTCTTCTTCTTTTTCTAATTCTTTTAGGTGTAACGTTAGATTGTTTATTGAGATTTTTTTCTTGAGGTAAGCCCTGTATTGCTATATAAACTTCCCTCATAAAACTGCTTTTGCTGAGTCCCATAGATTTTGGAAAGTTTTGTTTACATTTTCATTTGTCTCAAGGTATTTTTTGGTGTCCTCTTTGATTTCTTCATTGACCTTGTTTGTTTATTAGCATGTTGTTTTAGTCTCCACATGCTCATGTTTTTTTATACTTTTCTTCTTTAATTGATTTCTAGTTTCATGCTGTTGTGGTCAGAAAAGATGCTTGATATGATTTCCGTCTGCTTAAATTTATTGAGACTTGTTTTGTGGTATAACATGTGATCTACCCAGGAGGATGTTCTATGTACACTTGAAAAGAATGTGTTTTGCTGTTTTGGGATGGAATGCTGCATATGTCTATTAAGTCTTTTTAGTTTAATGTGTTGTCTAAAGCCAGTGTTTCCTTATTGATTTTCTGTGTGCATGATCTATTCATTGATGTGAATAAGGTCTTAAAGTCTCCTACAATTATTGTATTTCAGTCAGTTTCCTTCTCTTTGTCTGTTAATATTTGCTTTATGAATTTAGGTGCCCCTCTGTTGGGTGCATAGATATTTACAAGTGTTATATTCTCTTGTTGAATTGTTTTCTTTATCATTGTGTAATGCCTTTCTCTGTCTCTTTTTACAGTCTTTGCTTTAAAGTCTATTTTGTGTGATACTTGCATTGCTACCCTAGGTTTCTTTTCATTCCATTTCCGTAGAAATATCTTTTCCTGTCCCTTCAGTTTCAGCCTGTGTATGTCTTTAGATCTGAAATGAGTTTCTTGTGGGCAGCATATATGTGGGTCTTGCTTTTTTTAAACATTCAGTCACCCTATGTCTTTTGATCAGTGTATCAATCTGTTTGCA